TGTTGATTGTTAGAAAGTATGATCTGAAATGCTGCACCTTAAAACCAAACAGTATCCCTTTTCCTGAGTACATTGATAAAATTTTTAAAAAATATTTGTTTTTTGTAGTTGGACACAATAACTTTATTTTATTTATGTATATGTGGTACTGAGGATTGAACCCAGGGCCTTGCACATGTAAGGCGAGTGCTCTACCACTGAGCCATAACCCCAGCCCCCAGTGATAAAATTTTTTTGTGGCCTAATGAGAAAAATATACTATCTTGATCTCCAAGAATTTGTATTGAAGATATATTTAACCTCATTTTTATAATGTCCGTAGAGTAACTCTTCATTTATTTAGCAATTGATTCATTAAAATGTATATTTTTAAACATACTTTAACTGAGGCTTTTATTTTATTAGGATCTTGTCATACTATTTTTGGAGGAATAAAATGTCTTTTAATGCCTTCTTCTAGATGAAGCAAAAAGTAATGGGAATAAAGCTGGACATGGTGATACATCCTAGTGGCTTGGGAAGTTGAGATGGGAGGATCACAAGTTTGAGGCCAGCCTCAGCAACTTAATGAGACCCTGTCTCAAAATTTTAAAAAAATAAAAAGTGCTGGGATGTGGCTCAGTGGTGAAGTGTCCCTGGGTTCAATCCCCAGTAAACCCCTCCCCACGCAAAAGGAATACGTGTGTTTCTATATAAATGTGAAGGGAAAATAAGTATGTTCAGATTTTCTTTAACTGAGTATCAAAAAAAGAAAGAAAAAAGCAGGGGGATTGATTTTTTAAATCATCCTTCTCTCTACCTTAGTTCTTATCTCAACTTTGTTTTTATTTTAAAGGCTGATTTTATTTTTATGTGGTGCTGGGGATAGAACCCAATGCCTCGAATGTGAAGCACTCTACCACTGAGCCACAACCCTGGCCCCTGTTCTTATCTCACTTTTGAAGGGTCAAGTTTTTCCAAATTTTTTTCCTAGTATGATGCGGTTATTTATTTTCTTTCTTGGGTAATTGATATCATTCTAACATAGCTCCCGCCCCTTTTGTAGTTTGTTTAAATTGAAAAGGAGCTGTTGGTCCTATATATTTCAGGCTTCTATATGATAATTGCTAATCACAGTGATGACCCTAAAGTATCAAGAAAATACTATATATTGAGTGCCCAATTAAAAGAGAATTTTTTTTCCTTAACAACTGCCCCACCCCCAGAAATGAAGGGGTTCTTACATTTCAGTCTTTACTTAGTAGACTTTGACCATAAATTTCTCTCTTTATTTTGAAAAAACAAAGTACTATTTGATAAAGAGTCTGAAACTGCAGTCCAAGTTGATTTTGAATGCTTAAAATAATTCACCTATCAGGGAAACCGTCCCCTTCACAAAAGCCTGGAAAAAAATACTTAGTAATCAGTTTAACAAAATGGGCAAAAGATCTCTCCAATGAAAACTACAGAACGCTAAAGAAAGAAGACAACCTTGGAAAATGGAAAGATCTCCCATGTTCTTGGATAGGCAGAATTAATATTGTCAAAATGACCATACTACCAAAAGCACTATACAGATTTAATGCAATGCCTACTAAAATTCCAATGATGTTCTTCATAGAAGTAGAAAAAGTAGTCATGAAATTCATTTGGAAAAATAAGAGGCCCAAAATACCCAAAGCAATGTTTAGAAAATGATGTAGGAGGCATCACAATACCAGAACTTAAATAATATTAAAGAGTTGTAGTAACCCAAATTGCATGGTATTGGCACCAAAACAGACAAGAAGACCAGTGGTACAGAATAGAAGACATAGAGACAAACCCACTTAAACAAACTTAACTCATACTAGACAAAGGTGCCATAAACCTACATTGGAGAAAAAGAGCCTCTTCAACAAATGGTGCTGGGAAAACTGGAAATCCACGTGTAGCAGAATGAAATTGAACCCCAACTCTCAGCCTGCACAAAACTCAACTCAAACTTGGTCAAGGACCTGGGTGTTAGACCAGAGACCCTGCACCTACTAGAAGAAAAAATAGGCCCAATTCTCCATCATATCAGCTAAGGAACTGGCTTCCTTAATAAGACTACTAAAGCACAAGAAGTAAAATCAAGACTCAATAAATGGGATGGTATCAAACTAAAAATGTCCTTCATTGCAAAGGAAACAATCAAGAACATGAAGAGAGACTCTACAGAATGAGAGAAAATCTTTACCACCTGAACCTCAGAATATTAATGCATTAATCTCCAGGTTATATAAAGAACTAAAAAACATAACACAAAAAAAACCCAAATAACACAATTAACAAAGGGCAAAGGGACTGAACAAGCACTTCATAGAAGAAGAAATACGAATGGTCAAAAAATACGTGAAAAAATGTTCAACATCTCTAGCAATTAGAGAAATGCAAATTAAAACTACATCAAGATTCCATCTCACTCCAGTCAGAATGGCAATTATCAAGAATAAAAGTAACAATAGGGCTGGGGATGTGGCTCAAGCGGTAGCGCGCTCTCCTGGCATGCGTGCAGCCGGGATTCGATCCTCAGCACCACATACAAAACAAAGATGTTGTGTCCGCCGATAAAAAAAAAAAAAAAAAAAAAGTAACAATAAATTTTGTTGAGGTATTCTCACGTATTGCTGGTAGGACTGCAAATTGGTGCAACCGCTATGGAAAGCAGTGTGAAGATTCCTTAGAAAATTTGGAATGGAACCACCATTTGATCCAGTTATCCCATTCCTCGGTCTATACCCAAAGGACTTAAAATCAGCATACTACAGCATTGACACAGCCACATCAATGTTTATAGCAGATCAAGTCACAATTGGCTATTCAAAATAACCAAGTTATAGAAACAACCTAGGTATCCTTCAATGGATGAATGGATAAAGAAACTGGTATATATACACAATGGAATAGTACTCAGCCGTAAAGAAGAATGACTTTATGGCATTTGCCAGTACATGGCTGGAACTGGAGAATATCATGCTAAGTGGAATAAACCAGTCGCACAAAATCAAAGGCTGATGTTCTCTCTGAAATGTGGATGCTAACCCACAACTAGGGAGGGGAAGAACAGAAGTGCATTGGTTAGACAAAGGGGAATAAAGGGAAGGGAGGGAAGAGGAGAATTAGGAAGGACAGTAGAATTAATTGGACGTAACTTTCCCAGCCTTGTATTTGAATACACAACTAGGGTTACTCCGCATCATGTAAACCACAAGTATAGAATACTAATTAAGGGGCTGGGGATGTGGCTCAAGCGGTAGCGCGCTCGCCTGGCATGCGTGCGGCCCGGGTTCAATCCTCAGCACCACATACAAAGATGTTGTGTCCTCCTATAAAACTAAAAAATAAATATTAAAATTCTCTCTCTCTCAAAAAAAAAAGAATACTAATTAAAATAAGTTATACTCCATGTGTGTGTAATATGCCAAAATACATTCTACTGTCATGTATATCCAAAAAGAACAAAAAATAAATAATTTACCTGTCAGATTCAGTAAAAAAGGAATCAAATTTAATAGATAAGTAGTGAATATTCCTAGGTATATAATCTCAAAATAGACCTTTCTATTTTCCATTGCATATTACAGTTGGTGATTACTTGTCGAAATCATAAATATATATTGCAGGAATATAAATACCTAATGAATAGTTACACCAAAGAGAACTTTTGGATAAATTTGCAGTGCAGTATTTTATATACTAAAGTATACTGTATCTCATCCAACTTAGATGGAAGTGAAAACGATTTGTATCTGAAAAGTATGTTGGATGACTCAAAAAGTAACTCCAGTGATAAGGAATACATTGATATTGAAGATGTGCATAATGACTTTGAGTGAAAGGGTTTTGTTAAATATAAGTAGGAGAAAAACTATCTGCAAATTACCAAATTTGTTATTATAAGTCTATATATGTGCTATGCTAAATAATTTTAAATTTCATAAGTAAACATTTGACTTTTATATACATCCCTAAAAAATAGACTACATTGTTTTTTATGATCTTATTCGGAACATAGTAGATCACCATATATTTGGGATTTGTTTTTTTTTGGGGGGGGGGTATACCAGTGCTTGAACCCAGGGGTGTTTTACCACTGATCCACATCCCCAACCCTTTTTCTTTTTAGTTTGAGACAGAGTCTTGCTCACTTAGGACTTCGCTAAGTTACTGAGGCTGGTTTTGAACTTGTGATCTTCCTGCCTCAGCTTCTGAGTTGCTGGGATGACAGGTGTGCACCATACTCCTCTCTGGGATTTCTTTCTATTCGGGTATATGTCGTATTAAATTATATTTACTGAACTTGGTTTAAGATGAAGAGCTTATAACTCATTTTGAGAGTTCTGCTGAAAATGTTTTGGCCTAAAGAAAAACCTTAATTGTTTTAAAAGAGTTTTAATTTCGTGAAACAACTCATTCACCTAATCTTTCTCAACAAAGAAAATGTTATTCTGAGCTCGGCATGGTGGTGCACCCTTGTAATCCCGGTGGCAGGGGAGGCCGAGACAGTAGGATCCAGAGTTCAAAGACACACTCAGCAACAGCGAGGCTTTAAGCAACTCGGTGAAACCCTGTCTCTAAATAAAATACCAAATAGGGCTGGGGATGTGGCTCAGTGGTTGAGTGCCCAAATTCAATCCCAAGTGCCAAAAATGAAAAGAAAAGAAAATGTTACTCTGTATAGCTCAATAAAAAGTATGGTTGGCTCTGGATTTAGCTCAGTGGTAAAATGCTTGCTGTCATGCTCTAGGTTCCATCCCCAGTACCATAGGAAAAAAAAATAAATTTGATTACCCTTTTAGGAAAAAAGTCATTAAACACACACACACACACACACACACACACACACACACACACACACTCACTACCCCATAAATGAAGATGAGACAAAACCCCCTGCTTTTCAGTGTTTATTCTTATTTATTTCGGTCCAATTGATTAGCTCTCATGTTAATATATTGTTAGTGACTAATTTTGTATTGATTTAAAAAAAATTTCAGCTGTCCCTTTCCCCCCAACACATCGCTTGACATCTGAAGAAGTATTTGATATGGATGGGATACCCAGGGTTGATGTTCTGAAAAACCACCTAGTAAAAGAAGGTCGGGTAGATGAAGAAATTGCACTTAGAATTATCAATGAGGGTGCTGCCATCCTTCGGAGAGAGAAAACAATGATAGAAGTAGAAGCCCCAATTACAGGTAAATTTATTTATGTTTTAGATATTATTTTTATTATGTCATTATTTATTTGCCTGAATATAAAACTATTTCCTTTTCAGTCAAATCATATACTGAGTTAATATTACATGGACAGTACCTTGAATTTGTGAATTATTTTCTATACTTTTAAAGTTTCTGCTAGATTTCAGTGAATAAACATGATCCTAAATATAAGTACTGAGATTAGTCTAATATGCTTTTGTGAAGGTTTTATCAGTTGTACTGGCCATACTTCAATTTGCTTCAACACTTACTTGCCATTAATCATTAGGGGCAAAAATACTTTGTCGTTTCAGATAACAAAGGTGATAGCTTAAAGGTTAACAAAAATTACTGAGTTAGCATGGAGATTTTACTACCACTATAATAATTTTGTTATCCCATGACTTAAACACATCCTTGGCTTCCTAAAGAGGAGCTTTTATAAATTCAGATGAAAAGTTTGTTACTGATGATAAATTTGTTATTTCTGTTGCATCTTGTTCCAGGTGTTGAACATAGGAACACTTGGTTACACATCATCCCTATATGATTCTTCATAGACCACTTCTTAGACAATTCTTTATAGCATTTACACTATTATATAAAGGAAATTAGAATTTAAGTAATATTTGTTATTTCAGAGGTTTTTTTTTTTTCACATCTAATAATCTTCTTGTTTCAGTGTGTGGTGACATCCATGGCCAATTTTTTGATCTGATGAAACTTTTTGAAGTAGGAGGATCACCTGCTAATACACGATACCTTTTTCTTGGTGATTATGTGGACAGAGGTTATTTTAGTATAGAGGTAATAATCATTTACTATAATTTGCTTTGCTGTTAAGTGTTCACATAGATGACTTCCATTAATCCCTGGCCCAGTAAGTTCCTAAAACTATGTTGGATTCTTTCTAATACCTGTTCATATTCTGAAGTTTATAAGAAAAGCTATTATTTATTTCTCTTCTTTCAGACTATTAAATTAATTTTCTTTATGTTACTTTGTATAATTATAATTGACATTTTTCCCAGGGGAAATAATGAGTAAACTGAGAGGTCTTTATTGCCCTGTTATCTCATGGCTCTAAGAAGCTAATGATGTTTATTTTTGTATCTATTTGTCTCTTTTGCCCCTAAAGACATTAAACTACAGGGGGGAGGGAAACAACAAACTAAATTCTATCTGTTTAAATAAAATATAATAATCTTATTGCTTAAGCTTGTATCACTTATCATGTACCTATTAAGACCCCAGTATAACCAAACAACAATAGACCCAAGTATATCATATGTGGAATCTTTGTGTATTCTGAATATATTATATGGAATCTTTGTATATTCTGAAAGGATTAATTTGTGTTTAAAATTGACCTGTTGATCATCAATTGACAGTACATGATTCTTTGTCTCCTTTTTCTTTTCTAATTATATGAAGTATGGGAAATGTAGAATAATCTGAAATTTTCTAACATATGCACCTCTTCTTGGGACCATATTATAACATTGCTCTGTAACTTGCTTTTTTCATACATCATCCCTACACTATGAATGTCTTTCAAAATCAATAAATATAAATCTATAGCATCATTTTTAATATTTGCATTGTCTTTCATTGAATAAACAAACCATAATGAATTTCTTGTTGTTAGACACTTAAGGTGTTCCCAACATTTTGTGTCATATAAATGATGCCTCGGTGAGCCATTTTATTCATATATCTGTACACACTTCCCCTTCTATTTTTGTAGAACAGTCGCCTAGAAGTAGAATTGCTAGGTCAAAGCTCAGTTGATGCATATTTATTTTGTACATTTAAAATTTTCCAAGAATATTCTAAGCACTTAGCAAATATTGATCAATCCTCACAACATTTTTATGAGGTAAGTACTTTTATTTTATTCATTTTGTAGATGAGGAACCTGGGGCTTAAAGAGGTTAARTAACTTGCCCAAAGTCAGTCATTAGTATAGTTAGTATAGTCAGGCAGTCTGATTCAAAGCTTATACTTTTAATCAGGTCTCCTAATAGATATTGAAGGTTTACCAGATGAATCTCCATGCTAGTTACTGTTGTTTATATCTACTTTTCCAGGGTTTTCAATATATTTTCCTTTCTGAGGTTTACTAAGATTGCCAGTGTGAAAGGGAGTGCTTGACTCTGTCCATCTTGTCTCCCTTAAGAATTTTATTATCCTGAGTTTTTGTTTTTCTTCCCATTCATAATTTCATTATCAGCCCCCTTAACCTTCTCTGAATTACCTTGGTGTTTCGAGAAACTTAGAAAATGGCCCTGACAAAAATTTCGGGGCATTTGGTAAAAACAATACACAATTTTAGGAACTTTAGTTGATAACTAAGCTTGTTGTGCATGTGAATTTTAGTTGGTGACTAAGCTTGTTGTACATGTGTACTGTTTTATAGTTATGATTCATTTAGTATATTTTATTGTTGTAAAAAGAAAATAACTAGAATCAAAATAAACAACATGTTGAACTGGGTGCAGTTGAACATGCCTATGATCCCAGCAAATTGAGAGGCTGAGCAGCCTGGGTAACTTAGTAAGACCCTGTCTCAAGATAAAATTTATAAAGAGTCTAGGAATGTAGCTCAGAGGTAGAACATTACTGAATTCAATTCCCAGTACAAAAAGATGGGGGTGGGGGCAACATATTAAGTAAACACATGCTTAATAAAGTATTTCACTTTGGGTTTTTGTTGTAGTTGTTGTTACTTTTTTTTCTCGTGAATAAAGTTAAGGTCTGAATAGTTACACATTTCAACATGTATTAACCTGTTAAAAATAATTTTTATGTATTATTATAAAAGCTACCTGTTATTTCCATATGAAATAGTCCTTCCTGTTTTTTTAAGCAAGTAAGTAAAATGTTAGTCTCATTCTTATGTTAAATCTAGTTTTAAAGATAGCTACTGCACTGCTTCCTTTTATTATAAAAATTGCATTTTTTTGGATTGGTTTAGATAATAGGTTTGTACCTTACGTGAGGCAACATTCATAATCAACCAAAAAAACATGCATACAAAACAAACATGGCCCTTTCCTTTATTAGGCAGCATAGCATAATGCTTAAGATTAGAGATTTAGAATCCTGTTTCCTTTACTTAGGACTTTTGTGATTTTGGACAAGTTACTTAGCTTGTTGCTTCAGTTTCTTCATTTGTAAAACAGATAATATTACATACTTCATGATGTTGTTTGAGGAATAAATGAGAGGGATTAATTACATTGTAAAATACTCTGTAAATGTTTCCTATTATTTTTGACATTATTATATTAATTTATCTAAGGAAATCATTCTGATAGTTGATTTTCATATCAAACAACTTGTAAATCTAAAGTAATAAGTTTATTTGACTCATTGATACAACAAATATTTATTGCTCTTCTATTTGCTAGGTACTTTTCTAGGAATGGAGAATCAGAAGGAATAAGATAACAAAGTCTATGATCTCATGGAGCTTATATTTTAGTAAAGGACAAAGAAAAATTTAAAAAAAGAATAGTAGATTGTAAGGGTAATACAGTTTTTAAAAAGGGTAATACGATTAAAAGGAACAAAGATTAAATTATTTAGTTAAGCAAAAGTACAAGATAAATTCACTGGAAACATTTTCTTTTGCAGTGTGTCTTATATTTATGGGTTTTGAAGATTCTATACCCAAGTACATTATTTCTTCTGAGAGGCAACCATGAATGCAGACACCTTACTGAATATTTTACCTTTAAGCAGGAATGTGAGTACTTTCAGGAGAAATATTTTCATTTTCTAAGTATTCATTTGGAATGAAGTAGGTAGTAAGATGTGAGTTATAAAGACTTTGCAGTGCAACATATAAGAACAAATTTTGTGCCCACACATTTAAATCTTTGAGTAAGATTGTCAGGTACTTTTTAGTGTTTAATGGTATTTAATTCAGAGGTTTTTGTTTCAACATTTTCTATTAACTTTAATTCTTATAAATGTACTTAGGAATAGTTTGGAGTTTTATATGTATTTTTAAATTTTTTATTTGACACATGATAATTTTTACATTATTTATGGGTTTATATGTAGCTTTCATATTAAGAAAAAATTTCTGGTTATTATTAGATTGCAGATTTTTGTTCCCCAGTCTTGAGAAGTTCCTGTGAAGATTCTTTTTTTTTTTTTCCATATTTTTTTACTGGTGCATTATAGTTGTACCTGTGAAGTTCTTAATAGTTATTATTTATCCTGTCATTATTAACTGTGTGATACAGAACAATACTTGGCCTTTTTTCACTCCTTAGATATAATTTAATGTTTATTAGTATTCATAACTTTATTAATAAAGTTTTAGAGTTAAGTTCTAAAAATAGGAATTCAGTTAATCCTTGGTATCGATGGGAAACTGGTTCTGGGACCCCATAGATACCAAAATCTGGAGATGCTCAAGTCTTATATAAAATGCAATATTATTTACATATAACCTCTGAGCATTTTCCTGTATACTTTAATAATCTCTAGATTACTTATAATTACTAATACAATGTAAATGCTATGCAAATAGTTGCTATACTCTATTGCTTAGGAGTAATGATAAGGAAAAAGGTCTGCATGTTTAGTATAGAGACAGTTAATTTTTTTCTGATTTTTTTTTTCTCTAACATAGGTGTGTATTTTCTTTTATTACTTTAAACTCAGGAGCACTCGATCAGTGAGCCACATCCCCAGCCCTATTTTGTATTTTATTTAGAGACAGGGTCTCATTCACTCAGTTACTTAGCACCTTGCTTTTGCTGAGGCTGGTTTTGAACTTGTGATCCTCCTGCCTCAGCCTCCTGAGCCGCTGGGATTATAGTTGTGTACTACCATGCCTGGCTTTTTCTGAGTATCTTTGACCTGAAGTTGATTGAACTCATGAATGCAAGACCCATGGATACAGAAGACCAAATGTAATTCTTAAATTAAGAATCAAATAAAGGTATTAATAGAGAATTGTGAAAAGAAAAATAGCAGAGGATAATGGCAGAGATGGCATGCTTATACAATTTCAGGAAAGAGGCATATTACCTAAGTGAATTAGATGAAACCTGTGGAAAGCGCATACTTGACATAACAGCGAACAAGTTAAAATTTTTATTGAAACATAGTTCTGGGAAACAGGTCTGTCAGTAAATTAGCAAATTTGGAACCTCTGGTTGGTTGTTGGATATGTATTTTCCTATATTTAAATGTTAAAATACTAACCAAAAATTCTGGGCTAATCCCCCTTTTCTGCCCCTACTCACAGACATTTCCCCAGAAAAAGACACATAGCTAGCCAAAGACCCTTGGGCCTCCCAACACTGAGTCTTTTAGCTGTTGCACCCTCTGGATCAGCTTTGTGTCATCAAGAGGTCATAAATAAATAAGTAAGGGCCTGGGCTGTATATCAGTGGCAGAGCACTTGCCTAGCACATATGAGGCCCTGGGTTCAATCCTTAGTGCCACATAAATATAAACCAAATAAATAAATAGGAAGTGTAATGAAGCCCTTTTTATTCCTCTTAGATAATTAGTAAACCACCACCAAAATCCCACCAAAATAAAATACATAGGAATTTAAAGGTATAATGTAATAAAGACATGTGCTTATGTTTCTAAAAGTAAACAACAGATTTGGTGGAGTTTTATCTATCTTGTGTTTCTATATTGAGTTCCTGCTTCACTGCCCATTTTAAGCCTTCATTTTAGGGAACCCATCAGCTTCTTTAACATAAGTGTATATTTTCTTTTATTATTTTTAATGGATATACTTTCAGTTTTACAGTGATGTAATGGTCTTGCCTGTAATAATGATAGTCACTAACTCTTAGAATAAAATAATGTCAGTATTAAGATTATTTTAGCCTTATTAGGCATAGTGGTGCACACCTGTAATCCCAGTGACTCTGGTGGCTGAAGCAAGAGAATCACAAGTTCAGGCCAGTCTGGGCAACTTAGTGAGAACCTGACTTAAAACTAAATGAAAAGGACTTGGGAAGTATCTCAGTGGTAGAGTGCTTGCCTGACATGCTTAAGTTCCTAGATTTAGTCCCCAGTACCACAAAAAGAACAAAAAACACAGCAACAACAACAAAACCCTATTGAGCCATAAGTACAGTTATAATTTTGCCTTATTTGGCCTATAAAGGTGAAGGGTTGAACTGTTTTTAGAGATTTGACTTATTTATTTTTAGTAATTTTTATGACTCTCTGCTGCATATCCATAATATATTTAAATTGGGGAAATATTTTTCTTCATAAGACTTGATAACATTGCTTATATTTATTGGTTCTTGTAGGGGAAGGGTCTTTCTTTTTAAAAATATATAAACAGTAAAATTCACTCTTTATGGTGTTTATTTCTGTGAGTTTTGACAAATATACAATATTTTCCATCTCTGTAGTCAAGATACAGAAAAGTTTAATCAGGCTATAAATCCTTCTTGCTGCTCCTTTTTTTTTTTTCTTTTTTTTTGGTGCTTAGAATTGAACCCAGGTGCTTAACCACTAAGCCACACCCCCAGCCCTTCTAGTTTTTTTTATTTTGAGGCAGGGTCTCGCTAAGTTGCTTAGGGCCTTGCTAAATTGCTGAGTCTGTCTTTGAACTTGCAATCCTCCAGTCTCTGCCTCCTTAGTGGCTGGGATTACAGGTGTGCGCTACTGTGCCTGGCTCTTGCTGTTTTTTTTTTTTTAAGAGATTTTTTTAATGGGCCCTTATTTTGTTCATTTTATTTATACACAGTGTTGAGAATTGCACCTAGTGCCTCACACATACCAAGCAAGTGCTCTACCACTGAGCCACAACCCCAGCTCCTCTTGCTGCTTTTTTATAGTTACCTCTTCACCTACTCTCAACTCCTGACCACTATTAGTGTGTTTTCTCTCTCCATAGTTTTCTAGTTTGGGTTTTAATTTAGAATATTTACCTTTTATAATTGAAACTGTCCTATCCATATCTCAGTATAAACACAATGTAAGGGAGAAGAGAAAGCAAGAAATAAAAATTTAATATCAGTATCCATCTGTTTTAAAAATGATCTAGTAGTGATGTATATTTCAAATATTTAATTTTTTTCTAGGTAAAATTAAATATTCAGAAAGAGTTTATGAAGCTTGTATGGAAGCTTTTGATAGCCTGCCTCTGGCTGCACTTTTAAATCAACAGTTCCTTTGTGTTCATGGTGGACTTTCACCAGAAATACACACACTGGATGATATTAGAAGAGTGAGTATATATTTTTGGTTCCAAAGTTGATTCCTATTTATTGTTCTTTGTTAAGTAGAGAGTCAGACTTCAAATTTCTCTTCAATGCCAAGATTAGGTAATGGTAAAAACTAGTATACTGATATTTAGGGAAATAATCTTCTAGTCATTCAAAACAATGTAATATGTACTACATTCGAAGTTGATACCACTTTCCTTTGCACATTCTATCCCCAACTTTTGGTGAGTTATTTCCATTCTTTATTTCTTTTCTTCTTCTTCTTTTTTTTTTTTTTTTCACAGTTAGATAGATTCAAAGAGCCACCTGCATTTGGACCAATGTGTGACTTGCTATGGTCTGATCCTTCTGAAGATTTTGGAAATGAAAAATCACAGGAACATTTTAGTCACAATACAGTTCGAGGATGTTCTTATTTTTATAAGTAAGGAAAAATATGCAAGATTAATCACATTTTAGTTCTTTAAAATATCATATGCTTCATATATATACAAACATTCTTTTACTTAATTTACTCTTTTTCCCCTACAGCTATCCAGCAGTGTGTGAATTTTTGCAAAACAATAATTTGTTATCGATTATTAGAGCTCATGAAGCTCAAGATGCAGGGTAAGAATTTTGTTTCCCTGACCCAAATTAACACCTTGAATACAAATCAAACTTAGTAACCATGATTGATGCTTTACGATGCATATTAAGCTATTTGTTTTGCAGCTATAGAATGTACAGAAAAAGTCAAACTACAGGGTTCCCTTCATTAATAACAATTTTTTCGGCACCTAATTACTTAGATGTCTACAATAATAAAGGTAAGATGTTGTTGATAAAAAATTGTTAAGCAACTTAGCATTTTAATATACTTATTTTTAAAAAAATATAATAGAGAAAAAGGGCATTGTTTGAAACCATCAAAATTTCATAAAAAAATAGATATAAGGGAGGGGAGAGAACAAAAAATAAAAATCCAAAATGTGAAACTTCATTATATGTTAACCATTCCACAACTTAGCATTCACAAAAGTTGTTTTTGTAAAAAGTACTCTGAGTTAAGTACATTATACAAAACAAACACAATTTTCTTAAGCTCCCCTTTCTTAAATCTTTCCCCTTATAATCAAGAGAATGTTTTCTTATTTGTATAATACTGATGCTGCTTTGACCATTTTGTTTATTTGTACCATCTACTTATTTAGTTTATTGTGTTGATTGTTTTATATTCACTGATGTAGATTCTTTTCCTTCTTATTTCCCAGTCTTTATCATTGTCCCATGAAGATATGTATTTGAACTTTCTTTGATTAATCCACTTTGATGTCCTTTTAGAAATACATTCGTCTCTATCCTTTCTTTACACTGCTTTTTTCCTTTTATCTGTTTTCCTTATCTTGTGTTCCAGTGATTTCCATTTCTCCTTCGTCCTTCCTAATTTGATCTGTCTGTAATGATTGGATCTCATTTTATTTTGAATATAACTATTATTGACAGATAATGCCAAACGGTCTTAATCTAGTTAAGTATGTGCCAAGGACACTGAAGATGAGATTGGGCTAATGTAGATCAGTTTCAGAGGAGGAAATTAAGAGGCTGGCTCCTATTTTGTCTTGACATGTCTGGAATTCAGTCGACTATTTCATACCTTCAAAGTAAGGCTATAGTAGATGTGCCAGGAGAAAGGAACAGAAGGTTAAAGACTTTAAAAGGTACATTTATAAAGATAATGAAGTCATTGCTAAATATGGGTCCTGGTGTAAGTTCAGAACGAAGCAGAAGATTTTTTTGGATGATGGGAAATGATGGGTAAAAGATTAAAACATTTGCCTGAGATCAAATAGCACACTGGATAATTTAGAATATGCTATAAGAATTTATTCGTGATGAAATGTGGCTTCATTTTCGAAAAGAAGAATATCTAAGTTTTGACTCCATTCTCAAGAACAGAATTGAGCTCTACATTTAACTTTATGCCAATGCTCTAATTCCTCAACTATGACTTCCCATTGTCAGTTTTAGAGCCTAGTTGATTACTCCTTTACTGGTTTTTCTTTTTCAGTTTGACTCAGGAGGTTAAGGAATCAATTTTTTTAGTACTTAAAAGTGAAACTCAAACCACTGACTCTCTTTTCAAAATCAAATGTCTCTTAGTTATTCTGAGTCTGAACATAAGTAGTGTTRACGACTTCAGTGTTTACATAGTATGGGCATGTTTGTAATGTTTCATTTCTACTGATAAGACAATTTTCTAGATTTTTCTCTCCTCTCTATTTAAGTTCTGAAAGTTTGGTATAAAAACTGAAGCTAAGTTTAAATATTATTTCACATGGCAGTTTTACAAGGGAAGCAAACATAATACATGTTAAGTTAGTAAATGCTAACATGTAGCAGGATTATATTTGGTCCTGTATTAGCCAAAATTGCAGATCTTGGAATTTAACAGCTGCATTTCAGTACTTTTCATTAAAGTGAAAAAAAAGCAACTAGATAATTATTATAATATTTGCAAAGCATTTTGTATTTTCATGTAGTTTAATGTGAAATACCTTCTCTAATCTTAAAATAAACTTCTGAAATAGACCAAGTGGACATTTTAGTTTCTTTTTACTTTATTTTTTATTTTTGAGGTACTGGGGATTGATTGAACCCAGGGCTTCACACATGCTAGGCAAGCCCTGTACCACTCATCTACATCCCTAGTCCCCATTTTATAAACAAAACAACCCAGATTACATAATTTATCACATATTGTACAGCTAGTAACATGCTGTAGTTTTGATTAGAATCTAGTGCTTCTAACATCATGTTCCATAAAATAATAAAACCAGTGACTGAAATCTGTGAAGGTTAATTTAAGATATTAATTATCTAAACATATTGAAGTAGATTTCTGAAATTGAGATGAATATATTATCATTGAATTATTTAATTATTTTCCCCTTCTGGTATTTTAATAAATTTTTTTTTCTTAATGAAGTAAAATATTTCTTTGTAATAATTTTACCTGATTTCCTATATTAAACGAAATAAATACATTGGTACATCCATAAATAAAATATTTTACTTATTTGTTTGCTTTGTTACCATTCAGCTACCTTTATCAGGTTGCCTGCAGCTAAAAAGATCCTCTTTAATTCTTTGATTTATTTGAACTTTAAAAACCTAGAAAATTGCTCGTTGTCATTCTATGTTTCTTTTAACAATTGAGTTTTCACAATTTTGGATTTAGTAAAGGTGCATGTTCATTATTGAATTATAAAGTAAAACAAACAGTCTGAAAATAACTAAAAATTTCATTAATAATAACTTAGATATGTTACTCTATATAAAAGTGTGTTAAAAACAAAAAAGTGTGTTGTTATGGAAAATTAGTTCCTCCCTCCACCAGCCCAGATTCTACTCATCCCTCAATCCTACTCCCTCTTAAAAAATATATATTTTTTGTTTTTATGTATTTTTTATTTTTGAGGCTAAAGCTGAATTGTTATGTTGACATTTAACTTATCTTGCAGCTGCTGTGTTAAAGTATGAAAATAATGTGATGAATATTCGGCAGTTCAACTGTTCTCCACATCCTTACTGGTTGCCCAATTTTATGGATGTCTTCACATGGTCTTTACCTTTTGTTGGAGAAAAAGGTATGATTTTTACTTTTTTAAAAAAGGAACTGTTTCATTACCATTACATTTACTCCAGTTTACTATCACTGGCACATACTTGCTAAAAGATACTGAAGTCTGATTTCACTGTGATTACAGTTCTACTTGTGTCTGTGAATGTGGATATAAGAGCCTCAAAGATATTTTAGTTAGCTGTTTACAGCCCCCATGTGAGGGGACTGGAAGAAGACTTATAAATAGCCTGAAGTTGTCCTCAGCTGTTGGATTTTCTTCCTTTTTGTTTTCAGTGTAAATCTTTTATGGAGGAATATCTTTAGATTGGATGGGCCTCTTCTGCATATTTTGACACCATTTTTTGGAATGCCATAGCAATTTATTGGAGAATTTAATAGCCCTTATTTTGGCAATGTTAGTCATCTTACAGTATGCATTGAGAAAAATGATAAAGAGAGATCTCAGTTCTAACCTAATATTTCTTCTCCTATATCAGAAATATGTATAAAATTTTAGTAGTGAGCCTTTCTGATAATTTAAGAGAAATACTTATTAACTAAATAAGCTTTTAAAGAGAAAATAAATGCTATTTATTAAATTTATGTCTTTATTTTCTAGTTCTGTAGAATTCTTAGGATCTTGTTACTCATCACATTTTTCTTTTTCTATTTTATCTATAATTTTTTTCACAGGGCAATGCCTCAGTTTTCATATAAGACAAATGACAGCATGAGAGTACAGACATGATTACAAAACATTTTGTTCTATATCCCCCTCTTTTTTTCACACCTCTTCATGTTACAAAATGTTCCTTTCTGTATGATATGTCACTTCTTCCAAGACAATTTTTCTTTCTAAAATTCAGAATTAATATTTAAACTGTGTGTGTTAAATAGATTTTCTGCAGATTGCCTTTGGTCTTCATTTACTTAGTAAGTCTGATGTTAATTTAATATGGAGATAGAATTACTTGCTTTAGCATTTGAGAAGAGGGGCAATTGAGGGCTTAGGTGCAAGGGATGCATTACACTTAACAACCTTCTATCTTTGGTATATGAGAAATAGTTCAATCATAGCATCATCAAGCTAAAGGGAATTTAAGCATTCATCTTGCTTACTCTCTGGCCTCCAGGCTAGACTGCAACTCAGCTATTTTAATGTAATATGGGGAGGAAAGCTACTGGGGGCCAGAAAGATAAGTAGGAAGAAAAGGGACTTTTGAGAGTATCTATAATTTGATTCCGTGATGCCTCCACTTAAGGAAATGTTTCATTAAATCTAACTTAAAGGTTGATACTGTGAATGTTTAAATAAGGAAAGAAATAAAGGTAATAGGTTTTTCTCAATGTACCTGTGAAAAACTAGGACATCATAGTGTTTTAGAGATCATAAGCAAACTTAATTATGTAGTCCACCTCCTTTTGAGAGATGAGAAAATTTAATTTCTGTGGATCTCCTACAAGTGATATAAATATGGAGAATATTAGACTTCTATTGATGTTCCCACATTTCAATTCTACTAAATCATCTTGGTTCTTCTTTTGCCACTCTAAATCATTTTATCTCATAAGAAATGGAAATATTTAAATCTTTTGACCATTTTTGTTATTTTTATGTGTGGTCTTTTCTAAATTAAAAAAGTGAGGCTGAGGCAGGAGGATCACAAATTCAAAGTCAGCCACAGCAACTTGGTGAGGCCCTCAGCAATCTGTTGAGATCCTGTCTCAAAATAAAAAATAAAAAAGGAGCTGAGTAGCATGTGTGTTGCACTGGGTTTGGTCCTCAGCACCACATAATAAATAAATAAAATAAAGGTATTGTGTCCAACTACAACTAAAATAGATAAATAAAAGTTTTTAAATAGGGGGCACTGAGGTTGTGGCCCAGTGGTTAAGCAGCCTTGGGTTCAACCCCTGGTATGGGCAAGGGGGGAAAAAAAAAGAGCTTAGATTTTAATATTGTACACATGGAATCCTAGCCACTTTCTAGAGCATTAATAGAATTTTCTCAAACTCTTCAGATTTAACTTTTTTTTTTTTTTTTTTAGGGGTCAGGGATACAGGGATTGAACTTAGGGGCACTCAACCACTGAGCCACATCCCCAGCCCTATTTTGTATTTTATTTAGAGACAGGGTCTCACTGAGTTGCTTAGTGCATGCTTTTGCTGAGGCTGGCTTTGAACTCAAGATCCTCCTGTTTCAGCCTTTCGAGCCACTAGGATTACAGGTGTGCGCCATCTCGCCTGGCTTCAGATTTAACATTTTAATACATGATAGCTGTTTGTTTAGCCTAACTACTTTTTTTTTAATTGGTGCATTACAGTTGTACATATGATGGGGTTTGTTATGTATTCATGCATACATACAATTTAACAATATAATTTGGCCAATGCAATCCCTAGTACTTCCCCCCTCCCTCCTTTACTCCCACCCTCTCATCTCTTTCTTTCACTGATCTCCCTTTGATTTTCATGAGATCCCTCCCCATCTTTTTTTTTCTGCATATGATAGAAAACTGTAACCCTGACCACCTAAGTTTTAGCCTAAGTACTTCTTGTTTCTAAATAAATACAAGTGACATTTCATGTGTACTACATACAAAAAGCCAGTTTCACTCTGGTCTAGACCCTGGGAAACAACTATCCCAAGCTAGAGACTTCCTGAGAGGATGGTTTAAAGTGTACGGGATATATTATACTTAACAACCTGTTTTTTTTTTKGGGGGGGGGATTGGTATATGAGAAGTAGTTCAATCATAGCATCATAGATAAAAGCAGAGTTTCTTTAACCTTTTTTGGAGGATAAGAACCCCTTTTTAATTTCATTTTTTCCCATATTTTTGTTGGTGTATCAAAACCTTAAACTGGAAAACTCTGAGCATATATGGCCAATCTTATGTCATTTATATTCCTATCCACTACTCTCCTCCCTATATATCCAAATTATTTTGAAGAAAATCACAGCTAGTATTTTTTTGAATTTATATGTACTTCAAAATATTTCTTTAAAATGATTCATTTTCTAAAAGTAACTATACCAAAAAAAATGTCAGTTTCTTAATATAGAATTCTTTCTTTCTTTTTCTTTTTTTTTTTTTTTTTTGGCAGTGCTAAAGATCAAACTCAGGGCTTCATGCACATTAAACAAGCACTCTAGCACTGAGCTCCATATCCAGCCCACAGAACCCTTTTGAGAAAGGGAATATTCAGTAGAAACATATGTCATACTATACAGAACATTTTTAGTATAGTCATACATCTGAAATGAATTGGTAATCTGTTTTAGGCTTACTGGCCCTATTGAAAACCTCTGTTTTAGGGAATCCAGAATGGTGTGCTCTTCCAGAAACTATCATACATGTAGACTTACTCATTTAATTTTTTTTTTTTTAACTGGGGATTGAACCCAGGGGCTCTTTACCACTGAGCTATATCCTGTCCTTTTCTATTTTTTTTATTTTGAGACAGGATTTCACTAACTTTCTGAGGCTGGCCTCGAATCTGTGGCTCTCTTGCCTCAGCCTCCTGAGGTGCTGAGATAGCAGGCATGTGCCACCATATTGGCTATTGAATACATTTTTTAAAGCGTCTCTTTTATTCAGAGTACTAAGATATAAAGAGACAAGTAGGGCAGGGGTATAGCTTAGTTGATGGAGTGTTTGCCTCCCATATACAAGGTCCTGGGTTCAATCCCCAGCACCACAAATTAAAAAAAAAAAAAACAAGTAATATTTGCAGATTAATAGAAGACTTGAGATACATAAATAATGATGATAAGATGTAATATGGCTGGAGAGTACTAGATAAAGTTTGAAAAAAATTGTCACCAATTGCATCATGAGGATCTTGATCACCACACAAAGAAATTAGAACTTTAATAAATTATTACAAGTCACTGAAACAATTATGACTTTGGTAGACATTTAGAAAAAAAATCCTGAGCTGGGAATTTAGTTCAGTGCAAATTTAGTTCAGGTAGAGAGCTTGACTAGAATGTGCAGGGCCCTGAGTTCTATCAGCACTAGCAAAAAAGGAGAAAAATTGTGGTGGTGAATGAATTGGATGGAAGAACTAGAGACTGGGAAACCTATTATGAAGCTACATCAAAAGTTAAGTAGAACTAGGCATGGTGGCGTAAGCCTGTAATCCCAGTGGCTCCAGAGACTGAGGCAGGAGGATTGCGAGTTCAAAGCCAGCCTCAGCAATGTCGAGACACCAAGCAACTCAGTGAGATCCTGTCTCTAAATAAAATACAAAATAGGTCTGAGTTCAATCCCTGGTGCCCAACTAGAGACTTAATGAAGCTGTGGTAGCATTAGGAGTAGAGAATGTGGAGAACCAAAAGAACTGTGGAAGTAGAAGCAATGAAAAGAGATTACATGTTTAAGGAGTAGAAATGGTTGAAGATGACTTGGATATTTTGAATCTGGCAAAGATAATACCATTAACAAACGCTAGTGAGAAAATTCTTCTCTTAGCAACTTTCCACTCTAGTTACTGCTTTTCTTCCTCTTCATTGGGATCTCTTGGCCTTTGTCATTTTCTTTCTTTCTTTTTTTTCTTGATTCTAGGTATTGAACCCAGGGGTACTTTACTACTGAGCTATATCCCTAGTTCTTTTGAATTTTTTGAGATAGGGTCTCACTAAGTTGCTTAGGGCCTTACTAAGTTGCTGAGGCTGGGCTTGAATTTGCATTCCTCCTGCATCAGGCTCATGAGTCACTGGGCTTACATGACTATGTTATTTTCTTAATAGTTGGATCTCTTTTTTACTTTCTTCCTTCCTAACATAATGTCAAACTCCTTTCTCTCCTTTGTCTAATTCATTTGTCCAATCAACTTTGGCTCTATTTAAGTACAGCCATCCATTTCTTCATTATTATAGCCCAGGTATAGAGCACTATTGGAGATATTCATACAGCCTTACAAATTGGTGCCACCCCTTGATTTCTTTTTTGGGGAGGGGCTGGGGGGAAGGTACTGGGGATTGAACTCAGGGGCACTTGGCCACTGAGCCACATCTAC